ACAACCAAGAGTTACTAGAAGGCTGCCCCGGTAAGCAGGCTGGTCTCGGTGCAAGCAGAGGAACCGTCCCTGCATCGGGTTAGCCTGGTGGTCCCGTCACCTGCGTCCTGCCCCAGACCTGCATGGCTGAGGCACGGCTGGGACACTGGCCTGTCCTCCCCAGACACAGGAGCACACACTGAGGAAAACGGTGACGGAGTCTCCTGGGATGGAGAAAGGGCCCCGGGGTATGGGACGGGCGCCCTGCAGTCCCATAAAGGAGACGGGCAGAACCAGGTCTCCAGCAAGAGCCGCGGGGAGCTCGGCTCACCGCACGACGCCCCGCCACAGGCCTGCACTCTGAGGATGCGCAAGCTCCGTGAAGACCCTGGAGAGCCTCTGCTCGCACACCTGTAGCCGGGAAGGTGCTCAAGAAGGTCGGAGCAGCACCACAGGTAGAGCAAAAATTCCAAGCCCAACCAATGTCTGCTACCCAGAACAGCACCAGCACACGGCAGGTGCCCAAACTCACAGGATGAAAGACCGAACAGATAAATAAATGGGAAAAGATGCATGAAACCACGCCCACCCAGCCTTCCACTGGGAGTGTGGCCCAGGGACCAGCAGAATCAGCCCCTGGGGGCGGGGTCCCCCGTCGAGCTCCAACAGTGACTGAGCATCAGCTACCCAAGCCACGTCTGAACCACTTGTGCCAAAAAGCAGCATCTCGTCTAAGCACACCTGTGAGCGGGTAAATGGAAAACCGTGACGTGTCTCTGTGCAGCCTGTGGGGGGATTCCCTGTTAGCCCCTCACCAGGTCCTCTGAGCCTGGACGTGGGGATAGCCCCGGGGGTCCTCTGGGAAGTGTGTGTGGTTGTCCTGTCCCCAAACGGCGCCCCGATGCAGAGCCTGTCTCTCCTTGCTTCTCCCACCTGCCCACCGCACCGCGGGGCTGCGTGCCTGTCACCTATCCCCACGGGTCTGAGCCCACGGTGGCACCTGCGCCAGGCCCTTCTCTGGGGACAGGTGTCTGGTGGCCTCTGGGTCACAGTTTACATCTGTTTTCCATTTACCGAGAGCCTCAGCCTCTCCCACTTTGATGTCGTTGACTCGCTACCGTTTTCCACTCTGATGACCGCAGTGACAGCTACGACGTACTGTTTTAATTCACGTTTTCTCACTGTGATGTTTCGATCACCTCCTCATCCGCTGTTGCCTTCCTGGGCTTCTTCCCTGACCATTGCCTGCACTTTAAAACCCAGCTTTTCTCGTTCACAGCAAGGACTTGTTTTTAGGTAGTATATTAAATTCTTGATGGAAATGTTTCTGCTGTCGGCTCTTGTGGGTGTTTCTGGTACTAGGAGACACCACGCTCCCCACCGAGATGGCTTGTGCCACACCATAGAACCCTGTTGAGAAACGTCCCTCCCACTTTTCCATTTTGGTCTTCTTTTTCAAAGTTGACCTTGCTTCCTTTTTCCTTCCTCCTTCCTCCCTTCCTCTTTCCTCCCTCCCCCCTTCCTTCTTTCCTTCTTCCTTCTTCCTTCCTTCTCCTCTCCCTCCCTTCTTCCTTCTTCCTTTCTTCTTCCCTCTCTCCCTCCTTCCTCCCTCCCTCCTTCCTTCTTCCTTCCTTCTTTCCTCCCTCCCTCCCTCCTTCCTTCTTTCTTCCTTTTTCCTTCTCCCCTCTCTTCTTCCTTCTTTCTTCCTCCCTCCCTCCTTCCTCCCTTCCTCTTTCCTTCCTTTCTTCCTTCCTTCCTTCCTGTTTGGCAGGCTCTCAACCACCACGCCTGGCTAACTTTTCTATTTTTTGTAGAGATGGGGTCTTGCTATTACCAGGCTGGTCTCCAACTCCTGGCCTCAAGCCATCCTACTGCCTGGGCCTCCCAGAGTGCTGGGATTACAGTCATGAGCCAGTTCACCTGGCCAGTTGATTTTGTGTCTAGCAACTTTGCTGGACTCTTATTCTTACAGTTTTTCTGGGGATTATGTTGGTTTTTCTGTGTTGGAGATCATGTCTTCTGCATTTCAGCATTCCTCTTCCAATGTTATGTCTCTTCTTTTCTTTCTTTTCTCAACAGCTTTGGCCAGGATCCCGGGACTGTGTCAAACAGTGGTGTATTCCTGGGTATCCCTGTCTCATTCCTGGCCTTCCTGGAATGTATCTAAACATTTCCATTCTTTTTTTTTTTTTTTTTGAGACAGAGTCTCACTCCTTTGCCTGGGCTAGAGTGAGTGCCGTGGCGTCAGCCTAGCTCACAGCAACCTCAAACTCCTGGGCTCAAGCAATCCTTCTGCCTCAGCCTCCCATTCACTTTTTGATACATAACTTTGGCCAAGTTAAAAATGCTCCCTTCAGCGTTAGGTCTGCTGTGAGTTTTTTATTTTAAAAACGTAAATACATGTCGAGTTTGATACGGCCGTTTCTTTTTTGTACGTGTGAGGTCTTCCCTCACCTCCTTAATCCGCGTGGTGAGCTGCACTGGTGGCCGTGGCTAGTGCTGGACCCCTGAAGGCCCCTCTCGGCCACAGCGGCACCTTCCCAGCATCCCGGTGCCCTGACTGGCCGGGCCGTGCTTGGGTTTCCTGCTTCGCCGTTCCTGAGTGGAGGGGCTATTTCCTTCATCTGGTTTTGGAATCAAGATTAGAGTGCTTTCTTGTTGGTTCATCTGTTTCCTCCTGTGGTTCTGTGAGTTATTAGTAATACTTTACGTATTTTGAGACTGTATCATTAGTTGAATATGGTTCTACATTTTTTCTTTTTTAAATTTAATTTTGAATTATCATACAGCTAAATTGACTTTCTAAAACATATAGTTCTATGAATGTTAACACGGGCATAGATTTATGTAAAAGCAACACAGTGAAGACCTAGAATAGTTCCATCACAAACACCCCAAAAACTTGTGTTTCCAGTGTTTGGCAATTTCACAGGGAGCCGGCGCAGACATTTGTATACAGGTTCATGTGGGAACAAAGAGGGCTGAGATTGGGGATCGGCAGACTCCAGCCTCGGCCTGTCTTTGTGTGGCCTTTGAGCTAACAGTGGTTTAAAAAGCCAAAGAAACCCCAGAGATCCATGTGAGATAGGGACGGTGTGTGTCCACCGGGCCTAACAGCCGGCCTCAGACAGAGAACGTGGCTGCCCACGGTCTAGAGCCCTGCACAGGCCCATCCGCGAGCCTGTCTGACGGACGCTGAGGGGCAGCTTGCAGAGGAGGGTGGCTCGGGCTGAAGTGCGCGTCTCCTTCACAGATCAACTTCAACCTCATCCTGCTGCTGCTGCTGGAGCTCCTCATGGCGGCCATTGTGATTGTCTCTGCTCGGTCCAGCGAGGAATTCTGCAAGAAGAAGAAGGTGGGTGTAGCCTCTGGCCCCCCGTGTCAGAGCGGTGGGGACGTCCCCCAGGGCCAGCGTGTCAGCGCCCACCTGAAGGGCAACAGGTGGGAGGTCGGGTGTCAGTGGCCTTGGGAGGCAGAGGTGAGATGCCACCCCTCTGTCCCTAAGTGCGGTCCCCAGTAGGATCACCAGGAGAAACAGCTGCTGACGGCAATAGAACATACTTCCATGCAATAGAACATGCTTCCATGCACAGGGAAAATGCCTGTGTGCGAACTTTCCCCTCAAGCCTGAGATCCACTGGCGACTTCGAGATGGTCGCGTTTCGAGCACAGGCCGGCCTGATGCACTGCCCCGGCGGCCGGGCATGAGAGCAGAGCGGAGCTGCACGTCCTGCGTGTCTCGGGTTGACGACATCCTGTTTCTTTTTAGGGTTCCATCTCCAACAGCACCAACGTTATGGACGAAGTGACGTTTCCTGCTCGGGTCCTGAAATCCTATTCAGTAAGGGAAACTTGTCTTTATTTTTTTCCTCTTCTTATTTTATTTTACTGAGGTGGGGATTGAGTCTGGATTAAAGCATGACGTTTATTTTTCAAGATGACTAAGATACGGCCGCGCAGACCACGGGCGTGGGCATGGTAACTGATCTGCCAAGGAGATGTCAGTCTGTTTATTGGCATCGTTGGTGACAGAATACCTGATCTTAAAAGGTGCCAGTGCTCCTTAGGTGTCAGGGGACAGGGCTTGGTATCGCTATAGGTATAGTCGCAGGAGGTGTCCTGGCTGGCACTGTTGTCCCTGAGGAATCCCTGAGCCCTCAGCGTCCCCCTTCACGCTCAGCGTCCTGGTCCGAGGATACGTCACGTGGCCGCTCTCCCGTTACCCGTGTGTGTCTTTCGCGCCCTTTCTATTTTCCTGTCTTTGGCCGACCTGCTCTGTCAGTGAGTGAGCTGTTGAGAACGTCCCATCTGAGTGTGGCGCTACCGATTCCCTTCGTAACTCGGCGGCTTCCTGGCGTGTTTGGTCGCGTGTGTGCAGAGCCGCTCCCTGGTGATGTCTGTCATCACTCTCAGTGACCCGCGTTATCTTCAGTGACACCTTTGCCGTGACGTCCCTGTCAGTGGGTTTAAGCGCATCCGTGACCCTGTGGCTGAGACCTGCCCGACAGACCTTTCTCTCCCTTCCTTCCAGCTTCCCTTGCTCTGGTATTTGCTGTGTCTCTCACAGACAGCATGTGGCTGCATTTGACTTTGCATCCAACCTGGCCTTCTCTCTGTAGCCTTTTGAAAGTGCTTGCTGACTCGTTCACCTCTATTTTTAGCGTCTTTTTTGTTCTCTGTTTTCCCAGGGCTTTTCTTCTCTGCTCCCCGTCCCTCTGCCTTCTTGGGAATTGGTGGAAGCTTCTTCCGTCTTTTCCCCTCTAATTTTAGATCGGAAATTTAGCATTTTTCAATATTCTTTTAGGGGTTGTCTGTAACATGTCGCCCGCCCCTCGCACCCTGGCAGCGACCGCGCGGAGCAGTGCGGGCCCCGCGGCGTGCCGTGGCTCGTGCGTCGGCACCGTGCTCTTCACTACGAAACGGCACGGTCTCCCGTCTGCCTCCTCCCGTCGCGTTTGCTTCCTGACGCCTTCGCTTCCCTCTCTTCTGCGTTTCGTCCTTTTCTTTAGGGGTTTCTTGAGGGAGTGTTTGCCTTTGATAGGCCTTTCAAGTGTCGGCCGGTTTCCTCTCGGTCTTACGTGACGAGGCCTGGGGAGGATCCAGGTAACGGTTTTCCCTGAGCGTTTACTTGTCCCTCCATCTGCTGTGGCCCAATTGCCATCCCTTGTAGGCAGCCTCCGTTTCTGGAGTTTTCTGTGCTGTGGTCGTGATCTCTGTCAGGTGGGAATGCCGTCGCACTTGTCCACCCGGGGTCCTGTGCACTCCGAGGGGACAAATGTCCCCACCCGGACACCAGCCCCCCGCCTTCGTGCCTCGGCCCTGCATTTGGGCCTCATGGCTGTTCTCTGCGTGTACAGGTTTTGGGCGTCTGCTTCCTTTCCAGTCTTCCTGTGGGGGCAGGGGTGGGGCTTCTGGTGGTCTTGTTTCTCCGCCCCACCGCTGTCAGGTAAGTGCCTTAATTAGGTTTCTGTGGAGAACGGGAGCAGCGAGGGAAATCTCTGCTTAGGAGGTTCTGCTTCAGGAGAGAGCGATGTGGAAGGTCACTATTGCCAGCGAGCTGGGGCTGGGCCAGGGGCCACGACCTGCCCCTGGGGGCTCTGCCCTGGGGCGTCTGGGGTCCTCCCCACTTCCCGGGGCCGGACACAGGCCCTCGAGGCGGCCGGTGAGGCAACACTGTCCCTTGTCATCCTCCAGGTCGTCGAGGTGATCGCGGGCGTCTCCGCCGTCCTCGGGGGGATCATCGCTCTGAACCTGGATGACACAGTCTCGGGCCCCCACCTCTCGGTGACATTCTTTTGGATCTTAGTGGCTGTGAGTACACCCTGGCTGGTCCCCTGGTCCTTCTGCCACTGTCCAGGCCACACGGTGCGCGCCACGGCTCAGGCCACTCCCCGTGGGAGACACAGGTCATGAGGTCACTGGGCCTCGCTGGGCCCCTGGGGGGGTGGCTGTCTGCCCTGGGAGCTGCTGCGCTGCCTCCGAGGCTTCACGGGGTCTGACCCGGAAGAAGCAGCTGCCAACCCTAATGGTTGGTCTGCAGCGATGTGCCTGCGCCCGGCAGGGGGTGACAGAGGCCAAGGGACCCCCACCCCACGAATGGAGGCCGGCAAGGAGTCTCCAGGTGTGATCACAGGTTGGACTCTGGATCGGGAACAGACAGATGGCTCTGAAAGAACCCTGTCGGGACAATTGCAGGAATTTGAATGCGGACCGTACGGGATGATGCTGTCGAGTCTCGGGTGTGGGGCTGCACTGAGCACCACGGGTCGCGCCCCGGGCTGAGCCCACGCTCGGGTCCAGGCGTGGGGCTGTGGGGGCGCGGACGGCGCAGGTGTGACCAGATGTCAGCACTCGGTGATTCCAGGGGCCTCCGATGTTCACCGTTTGTTCTTTCTGCTTTTCTACGGGCTTGAAAATTTCACACCAGTGGCTGAGGAGCAGAGAGCACACAGAGCCCCTGTTGGCTGAAACGATTAACAGGGTTTATGCTCTGGAAAAGGAGAGCTTTATGGCTCGTAAAGGGCTGCAGCCTGCCGGGCCGTGTCCCAACCGTCAGAGACAAAAGGGAACGGGATTTTACACTGAGCGGGGTGGTCAGATACACACATTCCGCAAGCGACAGGCGGGGTCGTGAATACTCACGAAGGGAAATCATTTGCACGTCATGTGCTTTCTCTCTCCCACCCTGTCATGGCGGGGACCTCGTTCCTAAGGTGTTTCTGGGGCCCCCTTGGCTGAGAGGGGCCCGTTCAGTCGGCAGAGGGCTCAGGGTTTTGTTTCTAGTTCACACCTCCAAGAGGACATCCGTGCTCCCCACAGCCCCGTCCCTCCCCAGGACCACCCGGCCCCCACTAGCCCTGCAGAGCCAGGCAGCCCGGGGGGGGGCGGGCCCCGGCCAGGCGGGGGGGGCCCCGTTTGGGGCTTTCCTTTTAGGTTTTTTCTTTTTTTTTTCTCTTAGTGTTTTCCAAGTGCCATTGCCAGTCACGTGACAGCGGAATGTCCCAGCAGGTGTCTGGTAGGTGAGGGCTTGTCCAGTGGTACCCACGGGCTGGGCCATGGCCTGGCCATCCCCTCCACAGCCCACCTTGCAGTTGCAGCCTTGGGAACCAGGGGGCAGGGGCTGGGGAGGAGGGCGGCTGCGGGGAGGGGCCGCGGGGGGCTTGTCCTTCAGGAGCTGGACGCAGCCAGCAGGGGGGTGTGGAGGGGGAGAGGCCCGAGAAGGACCCGGGCTGAGGCTGGCGCTGCCGCTTAACAGAGGGACTGTCTGTGGGCTCCCTGGACCACGCCCTGTCTGTGGGTGAGCACTGCTGGTGTGACAGTCAGAGCTCCCCGTGACCAAGCAAAGGGCGCAGGAGGCCCAGTCCTAAAGGCCGACCATCCTGTGTTTGTGACTGCCGCTACACTGGGGCCTCAGTGCACCGCAAGGCGAGAGCCCACACTGCGCAGAAAGTACGGCGCAGGTGCCGGGGCCTGTGTGGCCTCACTCCGCAATTCGGGAAGGTTTCAGGGAGGTTAGAGGGCCAGATGTCAGGGCCATGGAGGGGTGATCCATGCAGAAGTGCTGTTTTTTCAAGAGTGGAGAATTGTGTGTACATTAAAAAAAACCTACATGATGCTCTGCTTTGAATTAATGGGCAAAGGTTTTAGCAGAGCCGTGCACGGAACCCAGTGCAGCAGTTCCTACTGCGGGCAGGTGGGCTCTGGCCTCCTCCCTGCCGCGGCTTGGAGGTGCAGGGCCGGCCGGCAACGCCTGCTCTCTGACCAGGTGGAGGTGCTGATCGCCGTGACCAGCCTCACGGCCCCGCTGCTGTCCACAGCCTCCGGGTACTTGTCGTTCAGCGTGATGAGGATCGTGGAGACTTTCACAGATTACCCGCCAGCCATAAAAGTACGTGTCCTTTTATTTTATTTTAAAACTCTCTAGCAACACAGTGCTGCTGTGCTGTTGGCGCACGTCTGAGGGAGGGGCTCATGGGGACGTGGGCTCTGTCCTGGGCAGTGGCCGGGGACAGGGGGCAGCCGCCGGCAGAGCTGGCTCTGCACAGTCTGCTCTGGGTGGAGCTGGGTAGCGTAGCGGGAGGTGGGGTCTCGTTTTCTTCCTCCGTGTGGATGATGGAGTGACCCTGCCCTGTTCCCTGGCTGGCCGTCCTGCCTCAGTGACTGGCAGGGCCCGCTCTGCCCTGGGGTCCACCCAGGCTGCTCCTGGGCCACTCTGCCCTGTCCCCCAGCCCTGGATCCGGGGTTTTCTCTGCCCTCTGAGCACCCACATGTAGACAGAATCTGTTGTCAGGGTTTGTGAGACGCCCTGTTGGGATTTCTACTGGAATTGCATCGTGTTTATGAATTTGAAGAGATTGAAATTTGAGCCTTTCCAAGTTTGAACGTATTTCTAGAGGGGACTTCTCTGGAGTCTTTCGATAGCTTTGCGTAATTCTCTGTGTAAGGCTCAGGCACTGTTGCTAGACCGAGGTGTGGCCAGAGGGAACACCGTCCCGCTGTCTTCCTGGATGCGCTGCGTTCTGCCCTGCCATGGATGTGGCCGGCGCCCTCACGGGGAACCACAGCCCGGGCCCGCGCGCATTGCTTCTGCGGAGTCGGTGCCTCCCAGCTCTTCCAGTGGACAGAGTGGGAAACGTGTATGTTCTTAATGACCATGAATTTATATCGGTGTTTCCAGTTCAAATTTAACATTCTAGGGTTTTTTTTCTTGACTTTTTTTGTTTGCTCCCCGCCCCTTATTCCAAAAATCTTGTTTCCTGTAACATTTCATACTTGATTTTGTCTTACGATACGCATGTAGCTGTTCATGGTTCCAGTATTGCCACCAGCTGAGAGAGCTGAGGCTTCCTTCTTGCCTTCAGCACGGACCGTGTTGGGAGGGACAGTCACACGTTGTCTGTGTGTCGATGCCATGGACCTGATACACCATGAGGTTCCATGGCTGCTGCTTGTATTCCATTTTAGGGTTTGGTACCTTTTCCCCCTTTTTGTGGTTTTTTAAATATATAAAAATTTACACAGCTCAAAAGCCAACACCATACAAAAGGTGGACTCGGAGACCTTGCTGTTCTGGATCTGCCTGTTCCTCTCACGGCCGCCGTATTATCATTTTTCTTCTTTTCCCACAAAACAGGCTGCTCGCTGCAATCACTATTCTGGGCTTTGCTTTTTTTTTTTTAGCTTAGTAATTACCCGGGTGTTTCCTCAGTGCTCGGGGTCGGAGCCCTGTGTTCTCTCACTGCTCCTGCACACGTGGCCCGGCCCGCCCGCCCGTCCTAGCGACGGCAAGTGCGTTATTTCCGAACATCTGCTGCTGTGAGTAACTCCTCGAGCAGCCTTGTGTGCACACTTCGCCGAGAACCCGGGCGGCGTGTCTTTAGGATAACCAGCTGGGAGAGAGACTGCCCAGGCAGGGGGTGGATGCATCTGTTGTGTGTTAATAGTTTCATCTCGAAAACGTCCCGTTTCCCCTGCTGCCAAGGGCACCAGAGCACTGACTTCCCCTCGCCCGCCAGAGAGTGGGTCTCGAGGAGCTTCTGTGACGTGCGACTGTGAGGACCCTTGACTGTGCCTGGGGACATGTGCACGTCTCTGGTTAGCGCTGCTCACGCCTTCCGCACGTGTCCCGTGGGCGTCTGAGAGCTCTGACCTCGGGGAGCCCAGGC